AAGTGATTGTGTTCAATATCTCCTAAAATCATTTCCAGAATCAAAACTCTTTTGAGGTTGCAAAGGTTTAGATAACTTTGTTGATCATGCGTCGCAGTAATTAGGAATTAATTTATAACATGATTGAAATGGAATTTGATTGTGACTGCCGTGCAGTCGTTAGTTGGTATAGAGACTTAAGTCTCACTTTTTTAGTCGCCCAAGAAGGCCATTTATACGAGGAAAAATAAGACGCGTCTTACATAGGACGCGTCTTTAATAAGACGCGAACTTTCCGTATAAACGGCACATTTCGTCTGAAGTAAGAAGCGGCTTGGCTAAGACGCGACTTATTTTAGAACAGCCCTTAACACCCGTTCTTAGATAAGACACGTCTTAGCTAAGACGAGAAAAACTTCGTATAAATGACCTTCGCGTCTTACATAAGACGCGAACGCATAGTACGTATGCGTTAATTTTTGGCGTGCCACGTTGGATTGCCGTTGCTACGGGCAACATTCACATGAAAACGAGTCAAGAACAGAAATAAGACGCGAACTATTTATACGAGCTGTTCTCGTCTTAGATAAGACATGCTCGTATAAATGGTACAGTTCGCGTCTTATTTAAGACGCGTCTTGTGTAAGACGCGTCTAATTTTTCCTCGTATAATTGGCCCTATTGATGCAAGATCTCATTTGTCTTTCTTAAAACGAAGTTAAGGATATGTTCATACTAAAACGAGTTGCTTGTCGTACCGACACGAGAACCTATCCGGTATATAATGTGAAGACCTATCCGATGTGTGACTCTCCATTTAGATCGACGCGGCTCCATTACAGAAACCGCGATGTGTGAACAGAAGCCATATCCGGTATGGTTTTCGAGCCGGTGCTAAAGCTATCCAATATAATGTGAACTGGTCTAAGTGCAAACTCTTATTCGCAAATATTGTTTTATTCTCACGCAAATCCAACTCGGTTTTTCACTTGGCATCAATTCGAGATAAGGGTTTTTAGAAGAAACAGTTCCTTTTCTATAACTGTCTAGTCGAGGCTACGCAAGACCAGTGGGAACTTAAACAACCACGACGGCAACAACAATAGCAATAACTTTGCACGTGCATGACAGTTTTTTGTACATTTCTTTGCCGTCGTTGCACGACACATGACGTGAAACGTCCTTATGTCACGTTTTGTGGAGACGAGAGCAAAGACTACGATTTTCTTAATCTTCCTTTTTTCCAACGCTTAGATACAGACTTTAAGAACTCAATCCAAATTTGAAAAATAGAATTTGACACATAGTATGATAAGAAATAAGAGCAATGAAGTTTAAAACAGTGCGAACTCTTTTTTTTTTAAGTGACGATTTCGCCGTCGTGGTTGCTTGAGCTCCCCAATCCCAAGGGACTAGTAGCGGCCTATATTTTTTTCGAACTCGAAATTGCCATGTCGTCATCGCCCTTTAAATGTTCTTTAATCACCAATTTTTGGCTCCATAGCATACCTGTCTTGCGAGTACTTCTGCATCACTTTTTCAAACGTTGGTTGTGACAAATCAACAAAAAAAACTTCAATACAATTTAATACCAGCTGGGAAATCTTGCTCCAAAGCAGGCTGGATTAAAAAGAAAAAACAGCGGGTAAAAATTATCTTTGGTGTTGAAATTGCAAGAAGTGTAAAAATTGCACGCTAAAATGAGAAGGGGATATTAATTAGTTACAGTATACTCTGTCTAAAACAGACTCTTCTGGACCTATTGTTGCTGTGCTCCTCAGTAAAATCTTGGCACCGTATCCTTAACTTTCGTCTTGTGCATGTCTCTCACACCAACTTCCCACAAGTCATTTCTTAATCTGATACGGCCTCCTTTGCGCTCAAAGACAAGGCCGCCCAAGCATAAATTTATCGAGCCTACGAACTGAATGTACATGCGTGAGACACCAAATGAATTTCGCTCAAGACAAGCCACATAGTCTTCGACTGTAGCGTAGCTTACACTCAAGAGAGTACCTGTTTCAGAGTCGACTGTAGAAATTTGTCGGGTAGAAGATTTAGAGAGGGGAGGGGAATTTTCTCCTTTTTTAGTTAAAACCTCCAAATTGCTTTGCTTCAGGTCAGAGAATATTAGATTTCATTGATGTAGGTATATACCGCTTACAAATTCGGGAACAATTAGTGTCAAAGTCGCGTTTACCAAGAAAGCGTTTAGTTTTTACTTCATGCAGCCGGTCAAATTTCTCAAGGGCAGGCACCGTTGATACTGGAATTGTGTCCGCCTGGAAAGTCGAAAGTCGGGACCAGTTTTAAAGAGCCTCTGTCTTTTTACAGAGAAAGTGACTCTAATTTAAATACCGACTTTGTATTTTTGCTGTGCCGGTTTATTTTTTTATTATGTTGTCAAGTAGTTTTTTGACAGCTTAAAACGAATCACGCGTTTGTTCTAGCAATGTTAGTAAGAATCATGCAAAAAGTAGCTTCTTGATAAGAATTAAAGCGCATTGTCGCAGAGGCAAAGCAATTTTATGTGGTTATGTAGTGTTTTTTAATTTGCTTTAGAGAAATTATTGAAAGAATGATCGAATAATTAATTCCAGGTAGATTCACTCCATGCGAAATTTCAGTATTCTGTAAAGCGCCCGCATATCGGTTAATTGATTTAGGGAATTTATGTTGTCTTTCTGTTTGTTTGCCTTTTTAAATTTTAATTTTAATTAGTGGTTTGTGTAGTTGAATCAAATAAAGAAATAAAAAAAAAGGAAATTGAGGTTATATAGGGTTTGAATTTTTATTTCCTCTGCATTTTTTTGAGAGCGAAGTTTGGGAACTAATTAAATTCCATTCCTCACACCTGAATATTTTCTTCCATCTCATCTCGCTCCCACTTATTCGCTTGCGCTACGCTCCAAATACCTACAACACCCTACACCAAAGTCTGGTCTGCACACTCCCCCCGCCCCCCACTGATGACCTGCGCCTTTTATGCAAAGACGGTTATACAAAATCCGCTGTGTCGTTTGATGTTCACATTATGTCATTGCCTAGACAGGAACCTTCTTCTTCGTATTCGCTTCGCTTTGTTTACGACACCAGTCAGTTACGCCAATCCTGGATCCGTCCCTGACCGTTACAGATATATCAAGTCGAAATGGCTGTTCTTATTATTGGTAAAACAGAATGTCTCTGGTAAGGTTTTTCCGCCGAAGAAAAACTATCCGGTGAAGTGTAGTCATGGCATTATTCTGCATAACAAGAAAAGAAAATACGGGAATGAGATGGAGTGCAAGTTATTAGAGACAATGAGGGGGCGAGTTCTCTGGTTTCTTGAATTCTTTATTGTTAAATGTTTGCACAGACGAAAAGCAGGCAATTTGTTTAAAAATGGCAAAACTCTTGCAGCACTTGCTCGGACTGAGATGACTAGGCTAGACTATCGCTTTCATCCCCTGGGGGGTACTCTTGGGAATTCTTAGTAGGGGTGCCACCCGGCCCAGTTCTCCAAACTTCAGACCTGTACCTTAAGAAATTATGTCATCATTACTTAGATTAGAACAGCAAAAAAAAAAAAGGATTTCATGAAATCCTTTTCGAATTCGCATATTTCTTCTCTTTCTTACTCATTTGGAATTACAGTTGTACAGTTCAGTAGTTCTTTTGAAAACAATATCTAATTCCATACCAAAATGAACAGAGAAAGTACCCGTTTTCAGACCAAAACGGCGTAAAAACCCTACCCTTTGGGGCGGCATACATATATGGCTTTTTAGGGGAGTAGCCTCCGGGCTTTCATCGGAGTTCTGTACTAACCAAAACTGGAGAATAAGCGTGCAAAAGCTCCTCGAAGAAACTGCATTATTTTATAGTCAGTAGTGAAACGAAGTTTTGTGTAAATGTCATCTGTGACAGTGTTCACAAAAAATAAATGTCAGTTTCCCTGCAGATAGCCAAAGGAAAATTTGTTTTTTAAAATTACTCGTAACAGAGCGCGCGAACAAAATCGATCGAAGCCGCAATTATTAAACCTACCTTTATGACGTTCGCTTTTCATTCTTCAATTTGAAAATAATGCGTTGGATTACGAAGCGAAAATGAAATGGAAAAGTAAATTTGTATTGATTTGCGTACTCCTTCTGTTAAACGGAAAACATTGTGAAGGTAAGGACAAATTCGTCTTCTCTAAATTCAGCCTCGTTTATTAAAGTATGCAATGTTCGTTTTGCGTTTTGAAAGCGCTTGCCGTTCGGCGATTGTGCCTTGGTGTCTAAGAGCTGAAGCGTAATTATTTTAAGATTTCATACTGTGCTCCGGCACCGTGATTGCTTGCTCTGCTGTCCTTAAAATAGCATGACTTTTAATTGGTAACAAATCTGCTAGATAGTGTGATGTACAATTATTCAACGGACGATGCTTGAAAAAAACATATAGCGCCTGGGGTCATAAATTCTTGCAGGTCTTTAAACGTGGCATTTAATGATCTTCCCAGGATTGTCAGTGGACGAAATGCGCAACTGCACAAACTCATCAAATAACGCTAATATTCAACTTGATCTTTTGAAACTTAAAAGGAAAATAATGAAAATAGAAAATAGAAAACCATATTTGTTTGTTTGTTTCACACCATTGCATTGCCACGTTACGTGTTCATCCTTTGCGAGCTCATTCTCGAGCCCAGTGCCCACTTCTCATACACTCCTCAGGCGGATATTGAGCACAGAGTGCGGTGCGCGCGATTAAAACCGGCGTGACATCAAAAATAGAACATGTATGCCTTTATGACGTTCGCTTTTTCATTCTTCTATAATTATAATACATTGGATTTTCCATTCAGTTTTGTTCAAAACGAAGATGACGGGGAAAAAATATTTATAATGGCTTTTCTTTCCCTACTGTTAAACAGCAAAATTTGTAACGGTAAGGAGTCATTCCTTCTTTAAAAGCACTGGTAGGATGGGCATTTTTTTTTTAAGAGAGCTACACTGGGGGCAAAATATATTCACTATCTCACTCCTTGTTTTTAAGCAGGGAAGAATCATGTTTCTGTGGATAATGACAGCGAAGAGTCTACTGTGGGATGGAACCCTATTCCACTGTATGCAGGGCAGATAAAACCCCTACACAGGCATACCAGCCCCAGCTCCACCGAGAGCTCAGTAAAAACTGGTAAGGAACTAGTTAACGTCGATCCCAGCAATGAGAAAATGGAGAAAATCTTCACCATGCGCGAGCTTGCAATGCGAAGATTGGCCAAAAGACATAAAACTGTGTTACCTCATACTGCCAAGCGCACTCGCTTGAATGTTGACGTTTCCTTAAATTTGCTATTTAAGGAAACGTCAACGTTCGAGCGAGTGCGGCCAATTTGCTACAGGCAAAGTAACTGGTAACTATCCAGAACAGTTCTTCATATTTCCCAGCCTTTCTAGCTTTCCCACAGCAGTTAGTTTTAGACTGAAATGCTTTTTTTTGACGCGACGTTGATTGACTACTGTTTTACCCTTACTTGTTATTTTCATTCAGAAGTTTTCTCTTGACAGAAGAGAGTATAATAAACCTTTTAAATACGAGAAAAGCTTACTTTAATTTGTAACCACGACTATAGGATTTAATGCACCAGACATTAGTCTCGATACCAAAGTTAGATTTTAATGCTCTGGTTGTTCAAAAGATGGATAACGCTCTCCATTCAGATAAAATTCTAACCAAGGAATAACGCAATTGGTTCTCGTACTACTTATATTCACTATAGCGCTATTAGACTTGCCTACAAGTCGAGCTCGGAACCGGAACCGGAAATGGGAAGCGAAGGACTTTGAAAAAGTCTATAGCGCTATCTACTTTTTGAGTAGCTGAGGCCTTTATAGCGAACCGATGTCAACTCAAGAGATTACAATAAGTCATTTTGATCAGCGTTGTCCAGGTAAAAAAGAAATATCTAAGAGGTGACGTATTTTTCCCCTTTTAACATAATGTCTGCGTTTTTATCCTTCCAGAAGTACCAATCCAGAGGAAAGTGAAACTACCCATGATCTTAACACCTTTACCGAGTGCTAATGAGGACAAGTTCTCCTCGAAGATCAATGAAGAAGGCGCTGATACTAAAGACAAAAGCGACACAAACAGTGATCATTCACAGCATGCGCAAGATATTCCTAAACCCCGGATGACAGAGCACGACCGCCCAACACAAGGTGGCACCGACTCTAAGACGCGCCAGCACAAACCAAGCGCGCATTATGATATAACATCCCCAGGCCTACGTTGGACTGCGTACGAACTCAGGACTGAAGTTACACAGAAAACCCGAAAACGTTACAAAAAGAAAAAAAACAAACTGTCCCAGCGTGCAGACGACGTCGAGGAGGATAATGATGAGGATGATAATCAACGACAGTCAAGATCTCTTGTCAATTATGCAGCGATTGGTGCTGGTGTAATGGTGTTCCTGTTTATATTTGCTGCGTTGGCTCGTCTGTGGTATGTTTCTTTGATTTCACAATTAGGGAGACTTCGCTCGTTTGTGAATTTGTGTTAGTAGAACCTGGCTCTCTGTCAATTGCCAATGTTATATAAGAATGTTTTTAAGGTAGAAACTGATGGTTGTCATCGACTGTCCTCATTGCTCATGAATAACATTTTTCTAAACTCACCATGAACTTAGCTTCAGCAGTATAAGTCACTTTTTACATTCCGTTTACATTAAGATCCTGCAGCACTGAGTCGATTCTAAATTGACCAGCTTTGCAAACAAAAAGAAAGCACATCACGTCGTTAGTAGTTTTGTATAGCACGTCTTCATTGGTGGATTTATTACTAGGTTTACGGTAAGGTAAACTAAGTTGTATACCAGGGATCGCGCGCATGCGAATTTTAGGATAGGATACCTCTTTCTAAACCTCTTTCCCAATCCCTCTGCTAAGTGTTATTTCCGAGTTGAGATTGATTCTCTCTAGTCTCACCAGTTTTTTCGAAGTCTTTCGTCTGCTCTTCGGTCCCTCACCATCGTTCACAATAGCATAATTTTTTTTTATCTTTAACTTTATTTAATTGCAGGGGAATCTGTAAGAAAAGATGCTCAGGGAGTACCTATCCTGACCCTGGTTGTAATTTCAATTCACTGCCTAACATCAGCGAGCAGCTTAGCGAGGAAGAGATAATCTTTGAGAGGACCAATCTGAACTGCGGGACGCGGACATCAAGGGACTCTGCTACTCACAAACCTGAACCAAATCCACCATCTTACCAACTGGCAGCAACACACTTTGATGCCCAGTCTCCATGGACCCTAAGAGACACTCCCGCATCCACACCTTTGATGGCAGTTTCTGCTGAATGTTCTGACTGTTCACCTGGAGAAAACATTTGCGTTGCGGTTGATATTCCTGAGCCGAATCTACTGTCTAAAAAACCTACTGCTTGTACCATTGTTGACCTCTCTGAATCCAGTCCAGTCTCTGTTGTTATTGATGCTCCTGAATCCGATTCCTGCGTGGTTGTTGATATACCCGACTTGAGCTCTCCCGACACCTCTTTCAGCTGCTCGTCCTTAAAAGACACTCTCAAATCCACACTTTTGATGGCAGTTTCTGCTGAATGTTCTGACTCTTCACCTAAAGAAAACATTTGCGTGGCGGTCGATATTCCTGAGCCAAATCTACTGTATAAAGAATCTACTGCTAGTACCATTGTTGACCTCTCTGAATCCAGTCCAGTCTCTGTTGTTATTGATGCTCCTGAATCCGATTCCTGCGCGGTTGTTGATGTACCCGACTTGAGCTCTCCCGACACCTCTTTCAGCTGCTCGTCCTTAAAAGAAACTCCCAAATCCACACCTTTGATGGCAGTTTCTGCTGACTGTTCTGACTCTTCACCTAGAGAAAACATTTGCGTGGCGGACGATATTCCTGAGCCGAATCTACTGTCTAAAGAACCTCCTGCCTGTACCATTGTTGACCTATCTGAATCCAGTCCAGACTCTGTTGTTATTGATGCTCCTGAAGCCGATTCCGTCGCGGTTGTTGATGTACCCGACTTGAGCTCTCCCAACACCTCTTTCACGTGCTCTTCCTTAAAAGACACTCCCAAATCCACACCTTTGATGGCAGTTTCTGGATGTTCTATGGAAAAAAGTTGCGTGACGGTCGATATTCCTGTGCCAAATCCAGTTTCTGAAGAACCTGCTTCTTGCATTGTTGACCTCTCTGAAACCAGTCCAGTTTGTGTTGTTGTTGATGCTCCTAAAGTCGATTCATGCGTGGCTGTTATCCCTGAGATGAACTCTCCGGACACCTCTTTCACCTGCTCAAGCTTATTTGATGATGCCTTTTCTTGGTTTTCTTCATCATCTTTGACGTCCGTGTCATCACTCGATATCACTTCAGCAGAACCGGAAGCCTCATCTCTTACACTAGAACCTGAAACCTACTGCTCCTCACCGACACTAAATTCTACAGAAGCACTGGAGCCAAAATTGGAAATCACCTACCACCACGCAGCCTTAGCAACCGTTGAACAAGAAGTGGTTATACATGCTCGACCATCTGAGCCTTCGATTCCAGTGACCATCGAACCAGAGTCCTCTTTACCCACTGCGGAAAATCAGCCACTGCTAGAAACATCTCTCACTACAGATCCGGCCACGCCCAAGCAATCCTCAAGCTTCGATTTATCTGCTACTGTCTCTGGCGAATCAACACACACAGTTTCCTTGGCAACAGAAATTGTTAGCTCATCGCAAGAGTCTTGTAAAACTCCTGTGGCAGCAACAGATGATGTAATGTTGACTATTGAAGACGAGGAAGGTGAAGTTTTTCTTCACGCAAGCAATAAATCAGGAGCTGAAACTATAATAATGACCCTGAATAGTGAGAATGCAGAACGCGCTACACGGTTCGTGGAAAGTCCGGCAAGTGACACATCTGGCGAGACTACAAAACCTAGTACAGTTGAAGCTTCCGGTGTGACTGCTAATGCTAAGGATAGTTGTGCGGAGAACGGCAATAGCGACAGGTAACCCTTTCGTATACCTTCTATCGATACATAGTACCTGTTTCCACATACTTTGCATCCTTTTTGACCGCAGGAAATCCACCATGTTTTAAATATGAATAAATAAAAAAACAGTACCCTTTCTCGACTTTTTCACAGCCATAAAATGCATCTGTTATACCCTTTTTTTACCACGCTACCCTTTCGTATAATTCAACGAGTGAAACCCCTAGCTTTTCATTTACCTGAACCCTGAAAAACAAACCCATTTCGGACGGAACCTCCCTCTATAGTCTATTATAGGAAGTACCTAGCTCCCCTGTGGCTTACGAACTGCATGATTTCTGGGTTGAGAGGGTGCTTTGAAAGGAACCAGGTTTTTGGTAGCTAAAAACCTCGGGTGGTTTCTCTTGGATTTTGAGACATGGAGAGAATTTGGCACCTAATCGCTTTCTTGATTTTTTGCTTTACAGAAAATTGTTGCCCATCAAATCTAAATCCCTGATTAAAGACGACAGATCTGAGAAGAAGTCCTGCTCTTCAACAAAAAACTCATTTCCGATTTCTGATGCTTGTCGATCGACGAGCTTTACTGAGAAGGATCTTGATACTTCTTCCTCTTTGTTTCCTGGTTTAACGGGCGAGAAGCAGGTAAGAAATTCTATATATTTTCAAATTAAATGATTATGTTTAAATAATCCGTGGGAATGGGTGCAGTTTTGAAACTCTTTTCTAAAACACTTTACACGGTAGATACCGTATACGAGTTTGTCATGCGACCCCATGTCGTCTCGCCTACGGGATGTAGATTAATAATGATACTAATAATAATAATAAAAAGTGAAAAAATTTTATTGACAACAATGCTAACTATTAAAATCCTATTTACAATTAATTCGCTCGAAAAAAAGAAAAAACTATTCATTCAAAACACTATTTACAATTCCTGTCGATTTAAAAAGCACTTAATTTAGCTTAGAAAGAGTTAGTTTAACTAAGGAAAATTTATTCGAATTAAAAACATTTCATTTCAATAAAAAAAAAACTGTCAGCCTCTAAAATTCAAAAGTTTCTTTCAACTGTTTAAAAAAATAAAAATAAAATAGAATAAAGACAATTAATAAAACATCTATAGCCGTTGAGTCACTAGGGAAGTCCTACTTGATAATAATAATAATTATAAAAATAATAAAATATTTGGAGCATTATACAGAAGTCTCAATCATCTTACACGGTAACCCTTAGAAAAGTAAAGAAAATACATACATCCACATGAGAATCTTTCACACTTCAAAAGAGTTTTCTCAACAACAGGTCAAATTAATATTTATATATTTTATTTAGATTTTAATACTCGAGAAATATAGTACGATTCATTATTTTCTCTCTTAAAATGTTTTTGTTTCCTACACTAAGAAACATGACATTGTTTATTTTTAAATATTTTTTTGTTTTTCAATTGTATATGACGTGATCTTTCAATAAGCTAAATTGTACTCCTTCCAATTCATAAACAGACATCCGACTTGGCAATCGAGCTAGAGAGCGAACATGGCGCGACTGAGGTGATCGTAAAAGGAGAACTTCTTAATGTGATCGCTGAAGACTTCGAGCAAGCTGGGTAAGACTTCTCTTTAACAGAATACCAAGAGGAAGAGATCGATTTCTTGATCTCCCACAATATTAAGTAAAATTGAGTGCTAAGTTTTAGCCTCTTTTTCTTTGGCTTTGCCCAAAACGTATCTAGACAAGCTGGAATTGAAAGTGGTTGTAAGCGTTTTCTGTTGTCTTCTATATTCCAGCAACGCAACGCAAGGTGTTAATGGCAACCTGTTTTCTTAAGATTTTGGTATTCAACTAGCGCTGCGTTGCCGGCTTTGACGTTTTAAACAGAAGATTCCAGCAGACTGAAGCTTGGGTATTAACACTACTGTAATTGCACACCTAAAATGGGAATCTTGCATTTTGTATTAGATCTTTAAAAAGTATTGCATGACGTGGATGTTCAAACTTGTGGTTCTTTGAGAAGGAAATAAATAAAACGTTTATGTCTGTCGCAGCCCATTCATGATATGTGTTCTTTTGAATTGGGCCCAGTTCTCTAAAAATAGAGGAACACAAATACGACAAATACGCGCTTGAACTTGCGAGCCTCCAGCTAGAAAGGTTGCACGTATGTAAACCGAAGGAAAACCAGAAAGTGTGTTGGTTACCTTTGCATGTCGTTCTATTTTATATTTCAGCATTACCAAACAAACCGAACATCATTCTGTTTTAAACGCTAATGCTGACGTATTCATTCCACGCTTTCAAGCAACTGGCGGCCCATTTGAATCTGCAGAGCGATTTGGTAAACTGGAGCGCGGGTATGTTTTATACTTACGCACTTAGGATTTTTATCATTTATGTGAACTAAATAAGGTATTGGTTTACAAGTATGTGAGCATGTAAACCAAACCAAAAGGATCGTCCTCCCACCATGTGAACAGTTCTAAGATTCGAGCCATCTTGTAGGTCACTAACTGAAAACCGCGAAACCGTGTATAACTCAATTCTAAAAGAAATCCCTATAAATAAATTTCCAAACTATCATAAAACCGGTTCAACTGCAACAAACCGGATCAGTCCCACGAGACAAGTCTGCTTAGTCTCTTGGCTGCTTTCCAACCTCACAGAAGTCCCACAGTGCTCTATTTAAGACCCACTTCTCTTTTCACCAGTGCTTGTGATCATTTACGTTAGGACGAACCAATTTAAAAAATAGAAGATCCCCTTAATTTGGCATTTAAACGGAAATTTTATTGTGATTCTGGCCTATTGCCTGCTTTTATTTGCTTTTAGTTGCAAAACAAACTAAAACGTGTTACTAATTGTTGCCTTTCGTCTTTCCCCTTTTCAGCATTACCGGACAGAGTGTCTTAAATGCAGAGGCCAACGAGTTTATACCATGCTTTGAAGCCGATCGCAGAATTAAAACAGAGAATTTTTGCAAACTGGAGCTTGGGTATTAATGTCTATAAAAAATTTAACACAGAGCATTAATCATTCCGGGGGTGGGGTACTTCCCTATAACAGGCTAATGGGGATGTGCCTCTAGATGGGGTCGCATTTTCACGACTGGCTGGATTGACTATAATGGGTCCCATTTTTTTTCAATAGAGTTACTAGAATGACGTCGCGCATTTTGTGATTTTTGGGGTAAGGCAGTTATTTATATTTAAGGTTGGCAAACGTACCAGAATGTTCGTACTCTAGATGAGGTAAATTGTTTGGTCAATCATTCCACGTAAGGTAGATACAAAAATAGAAAGTGACAAAGATGGGATCTGTAATTGGCCACAGAATAAACTTTAATGGGGTAGAGGCTCTGAGAGCACAGGGGCACATAATCAGCAAAAATTAACCTACGTAACCCCCCCTTCCGTGAAACATTCATGAGACCTAGTTGAGTTTGGGAGTCCTTTGAGAAAGGAATTTTGTTAAAACACGCGCGCCGTCATAACATCATAAAATGTTGACTTCGCTCACTTGTATAGAACGTGTTGGTTGCCGTCAGGATTGACGGAAAAGGAGACTAACATCATGTATTAAACGCTGAAGTGGATGAATTTATTCCATTGATAATCTAAAACAACTGCCGGATCAGCTGAAACAAAAGATTTTGTTAACTGAACTGGAGATTGGCTGTACATCTTTTGAAGATAAAATTCATTTCTATTGTGCAGTTATATATCTATAACATCGTGGAACTGGATTTTTGGTATGAAAATGTTGGTACCACAAATGTAGACTTCTTATACCCACCCTTCACATTCTTTTAAAGGATTCCGGTCCATGACCCTAAAAACCATGCCCTGCTCAGGGGCACATTACCGCAAGGGCCAAATAAGGGAGTGCCCCCATCCGGGAAACATCTACATATCAAAGAATTCTCCATGCAATATATAATTTACTGCGCGCTCGAAAAAAACATGAGCTGGGAAATCAAAATGAAACACTAAAACCAAGAATATTTTCTTTTTAACCCAAGACAAAATATCAAAGTAAAAGACTGAAAAGAAAACAAGAAGACAAGAATCAAAAAAAGTGAATTTTACAAGTTATTTTCCTCGAACACAGTAGACATCAAGTTGGCAAGATATTTTATTTTTAGTTTATTTTTTTCTTGACTTCAGAAGCGATTCTTTCAGCCATGTTTCAGACAAAAGGGCTGTTAAGTGTTGTATAAAAGCAACGGACTACTCAGATGATATTTATCTATTGATTCACTGATGATTGTTTTAGTTTTTTGGGGGGTTTTGTAATTTGTTTGCCTAATTTTTGTTATTAAGGTTGTTCCCAGCGGTCTTGCCCGTCAGGGGGGTGTTCCAGCGTATTCCGGGGTGTTCCTGGTTTTACAGAAACCCAAGTTTCAGGTTGATGTAGTTGACAATCGCCAACTCAACTAATCTTTTTTCCCCACAGAATTACCCGGGGAAGGAATTCGTTAAATGTAAACGCTAAAGAATTCGTTCCTGTCGATTTTCAGGTGAGGAAATTTTCACTAATAATACGACCTTATCGAAACAACATTGGTGGAAACTTTCTCATTTAATTAATATTGCTCCTCAGAAATTCCCATGAGCAAGTATCGGATCTCCGCCCGCATGCAAGGCACATTATCTCTCTCGCTATATTGCAAACAAGAAGAAACAATTAAATTTCAATCACTGTAAATCCTGAAATAGTTACTTTCAAAGTATACTAATTGCTACTGAAAGACATTATAGCTACGAAAATATAGGTATTTTTCCATACTTCGTAAGAAACGATTAAAGCAACATGTTTCGGTTTCTTAAGTTGTAGACGTTGCAAAAAATCGAGTTTTTCTTATTCTTACAATTCTAATACAATTATTAATAAAAACATAGTGAACATTTAAAAAAAGTGAACATTGTTTATGATAAGATGATGACAAAAAGATTTATTATTTCGTATTGGCATTTTTTATTGAAATATTTTCGAATAAACGTTAGCATCGACTTACTTTCATTTCAATCATCTTTGATTACAGAACAGTGCAAGTGTCTCCTTGTTTGCCCAGCCTGAGCACGATGTGGTCCCGATTGCTTCTCCAGCCCAGCCACGCCCTGTTAAAAAGAGACGTCGAGCCAGACGCCGGAAAAATCACTCCCAGGATCTTCAGCAGCCAAAAGGTATTTTAGTCATGCAAATAGGAAGTCCCTCACGAATCGAACCCTTGTGATTTCAGTGGAACATATTCGTCAAAAATATATCCAACAGACTCAATTTAAACACTTAATTAGCCCACCCCCCACCCCTCTACCATGCAAAATTTTACTAAGTCCCTCAAGAATAGAAAAGCAGCGAATCCAGACCTACAGTGCGAAGGATCTTGATATTTCATTTGCTTTGTTTCCTGGTTTAATGGGCGAGAAGCAGGCAAGTTGTTGAGTTTAAACAATGGGAAATGGGTGCAGTTTAGGAACTGATTTTTAGAAACACTTAACAAGGTATACTGCAAGAGAACTTGTTGTGCGCACCTATGCAGTTTCGCGGTACGTGATAAAGTTTATTGCTGCACAATGTTTCTCGTAAGAAGGACCATTCTTTTTTACCGGGGTAAGGGGGGGGGGGGGTGGGGATATAGGGGCGCGGGAAGGGACAAACTTCACGATTCTCTGAGAGTATTCTCACATCAAGCTTCGTTTATGGACTTACGTACTCGCGACTGAGTGAGTATGATGAGACCATACTATAACCTTATTATCATGAGCTATTACAGAAGTTGGTGCTATAATGCCTGACATTTTCGATGGTCCCCCTGATTTTAACGTAAAGTGGAAGGGCCATGAAGTCTTGGTCTGTTGTGGTAACGAAGTAGCTGTATTAACGACGTTGAGGCTCACAATCTAATACTTTCCCCTTTTCCTCCTTTGTTCTCTAGATTCACTACTTAACCGAATAAACGAGGCAGAACAGGAGTAACTTACCCAGCACGTGTCAAACACTTTTAATCAGTTTTTAAGTGGAAAAAAAAGTTTTATTAGTTTTTTCACGTCATTGTAAATACCATATCAGCTCAATTTTGTTACAATTCTTCTTTCATGAGGTAAATAACTTGTCATTGGAAAGGAAATCTTTCAGAATTATCAAGACGGCTTGATGGAAAAACATAATCGTGATTTTTTTTCACTTCTGAGTAGTTTTAGAACACAACCGCGCTTCTCTGGGATAAGCACTGTGTTTTTATAATCAAACTTGTAAATAGAAGAATTTTTATTTGTAAAATAATTGTGTTGTACTAATAAAGCATTTATTTTTGATTCGGATTAGTGTTGCATGTAATTTCTCAGTTTATGTCATTGTCAACAACGAAATATTAATAATAGAAATTGAATGTAACTAATTTTAAATACAAACAAGAGCTCAACTCCGACTGCCACTTGATTGCGGGCTCATTTAAGCCTGCTTTTTTAAGGTGAACAGGCGATTGTCCTTTTTTATCTTGCGCTTAAGTGAAAGAATAATTGCACGGGTTATAATTTAAAAAATTAGAATGTTTATTTGTACAATTTGATCACAATAACAGTAACTACAACAGGATAAATGAGCAAAAATAAACCCAAACAAACCGCCATGGCGACGCCATAACGATTCGACAACCAACTGCTAACATCCACCCCTCCCAGGAAAGTATTCCCCAGCCAGCCAGAGCTGCGTATGTTTCGCGACAGCTTCTCGACACTGAATCCACTAGCTGTTGCCTTAGTGATGTTACCATGCACGCGCTCTTCTATCTCACGCCAGTTAGAAGAGTATGCAAGGGCCTGGATGCAAAATTCCTTCGCAAACTCGACACAATCCTCCAGGAGAACGCTGTATCGATGGGGAGCAGCTCGCATGGCCACAAACTGCAAAGCGTTTAAGCTTATTCCTTTGAATCTACTGATATAAAAACTGCGCTGGATTCTATTCTCGACATCCCTGAAGAGACTGCACTCTTTGCGTATCTTGTACCACCGTAGTTCTTCGTTCTCAATACACAGCTCGTATTGCCAGCACATCATTTGAGCGGGGATGTCAAAGGGTGATTTTACAACATCCGAAAAATCGACCAAACCAGCGTCGTCTTCACCCGCGGGAACGCACAAAATAAACCCGTGCCATCGTTTGTTCACACAAATGAATAAATCCATATCCATCTTCCCGGTGGAGGCGAGCTGCTTGATTTTTTTATTGTCTTTCTTCTTGTAGGCTGTTACTACTTCGGCATCAAAGTCGGACAAAGTATTGACGTAATAGGCCAATGGTTCTACACTGCGTAGTGTTCCTTCCATGCTCGTCTACTGTCAGATAGAAAAAAATAATTATGACGAGTGTTGCATAAGGCCGGAGATTTATCGATGGTTTTCAAATCGTACTTTCCCGCGATCCATATTTGTTTATCACGACAACGCGAGTGCTTATGGTCTGAAGAACACCGAAAGCGAACTAGTTCTTCCACAACCGCGGATTGATAATCTAAAGAGGAGTTTTTCCTTCAGTGGAGCTCAGTTCTGGAACTAGGAACAACTTAACTGTACCAAACCCTCCCTCGGTCTTTTTCAACTTTTGACGTTAACAAGTTAGGGAAAATTCGTCTACACCTCATCTTCGCTCTCTTACGTAAGACGAATCACTTACGAATTTGGCAATATTACTAATTCTACTTACGATTACTATTCTAATTCTTCCAGTGATGTCGACGGACTTTCTCTAACTGCATGGGCCATGTAAAAAGTTGAGAAAACCGCAGAAGAGTATTTCGACAAGCGACTTGAGTAAACAACTTCAATACATGATGGGCTCCTGACAAAACTAAGTCGCCACGGTTTTAAGAAAAGTTTTAAGGATAATTCTTGCAGCATGACTCCCATGGAAAGCATTTATTTCTGTAACTTTTATTTTGTAGCTAGAGAGACAGTTAACTTCCGCAATTATTTTGAATACTGGTTGAACTAACGTTTATATCTGAAAAACTATCTATCTATGAGGTCATCAATAGATCTACCTCGTTATCAATTAAAAAAAGACAGAAAACTTAACCGAGCTTAGCCTGCGAAAACAGCCGTTTCTCCTCGTTCTTCGTCGCTGAGGACGTTTCGCCAAGAAAACGAAACATCCCCAGCGGCGAAAAGCGGGGGGGAAACGGCTGTTTTCGCAGGCTAAACCGAGCTGTCACTTGAGGCCGCGATTAATGAGAATTCGACAGTCACGACCAACTGGACATGACCACGCTCCTTATTTATTTCATTACATTAGTGCGTCTTAGCCTAGCATCGTTGTAATTCTCCATATACCTACTGCACTGCAATGAACTGACGTTCCGTTAAAATTATAACTCAATTCTTGATCACAGCCCCAACATTTTTTTAGTGTAATGTATAAAGTAGGGCCAAGAGATCGTATTTTATGTTGTCATTGAAAACACGTAAATTTATCATGGTCGATCTGCTGCCTAAAACCAAAAATAAAACCATTTCATCATTCAACAGCTCACCTCACTTAGACTAGATTCAACTGAGATTGAATGCTTGTCCTTTGGGTCGAACGAGTGCGATCAACAAACCCGATGATAAGTCTGATATAGTTCTGTATTTCACTCTAACTTAACTCGATATACCCGGAAGTACAACCTCGTCCCCAGGATCTTCTCGTTTCCCAATATGGGGACGAGGTTGCCCGGAAGCTCTTCTGAGAAGGCTTTAATTAGGCTTAGTTACCCAACATCTTGGGTTTTCTCAGAAACGGCCCTGGGACGAGATTGATTCATTCGCTGCTGTTAAAAACGGCGCTTACACATAAAGTTAACAAGCCTTCCGCCAGGTAATTGGCTTGTCTTATTAGCCTGCGAGTTTGTGGTGCACAAACACAAAAATATCATTGTAGTCAAAAAAATAAGTCCCTTCAAAAAGGGAAGTTATCCGGCCTTAACTTGCTAGAGCTCACATTTTGAGTTTCCCGAGTGAAAATCACTGTATTGCCAAACTTTTTGTAGCAAAAAAAAAGTCAATTAGTATAAAAGATAATCGTGATATCTGAGCATTTTAAAAAGTAACCTGTAACCTGATCAATTGTTCAAAATACAAGTTGCCTGCAACAAGAAGTCCGACCCAAAATTAAAAAGTCAGAAAGGATATCAGGGAGGAATGGGTTTAGGGGGGGTTTTAGGGACTTTAACTTTACCATCAGTCAACTTTATCCCCAAGGAAACTGAATATGAAGATCGTATAAATGTAAAAAAAATTTCTTTTCATCCTGCTATTAAAATATCCCTCGTGGTAGGTGGAGGCGGGGGTGGTGGGGGGTGGTTGGGTTTTGTGGGTGGTGTTACGGAATCAAGAAATATAGAGCATTTACATGACGTCACGTCCGCCAAAACAATTAAATGGCGACCATGTGAGAGCAGTCTCGTAGGAGTTAAACGTTTTTCGTATCTAAAAACTTTCTCTTGTTCCAGTAAATTTGCCTAGTTGCTGGCCACCTGAGTGAAAACGCTTAATAATTATAGACAGATTTAGAGTCGTGTTACGGCAAACGTGAATTTCATTTATTTCATTTCATTTATTTGTCCAGTTTAGTCACTCACAGTAAATAAAAGTAAAACGTTACAAGAGGTGTTAATTAAAATAAAGGTGGTTGTGACAAGGAAGCCTAAAGAACCTGGGAGCTTATATTAATAGGCTTCCTTAAGCTCTATTGCAAAGGCTTACTTGATTGCAGAGTGTGCAGAAAACATAATACTTAAGCGACAGACTATTAATGAGATAATTTTTCGTTTTTTTTTAAAACTTGTTTTCGGCAAATTTGTACCGCGTAACTAAGTTTTCCCTTTCCCTTTCTTTTAGTTGTAATTACTTCTACTAAAAAAAAGTAGTTTCACTCCCCTTTTAGTCATAAGAGTTGTTCCGGTGTGTTTTTATCCTTGAGAATTCTCAATTTGAATCTAAGAGGGGTGGGGGGGTGCGAGGGAGGCCCCGTGCCATTGAGGAGTCCCCGCTGGACAAAGATACCGACATCTCTCATCGGTATATACACGTGGTATATACATGATCGTGTCATCGTGTCCTAAAATTGGAAAATTGATAATTTTAAGGAATCATTAACATAGTTTAGCGGTTCGTGGCGTGTTGCCCCGCGTGATTTAATTGCGATGGGATGTTCCAACTTGTTTTCGGCAAACACTAGAGCATCGATATGATCGGGTGGTCAAGAACAATGGACGCCATGCTGCTGGCTCTGTACTCATTCGATGTGATGCAAATATAAGAATATTCTCCCGAGTAGTCATTCATTTTAGGAGGAAATTTACATGTACTTTTCTTGACTTGGAGCTCACGCAAGTGTTCCAATTGTTATGCAAGATGTCTGCAAAGGTCGTCACCATTGGCCAGCTAATTCAGAAATGTCTCAAGCAGGCTTATTTTTTGCCACAGAAACCATCTTCCTATTCCAAGGGATATAGATTTCTAAATGATAAGAAATACCGCATGTACGATTGCCCACCTAGCTCGCTCAATTTCGATCGTCTTCTGTATCCATTTCGTCATCTTCCTGCCGCGGGGAATGAGATTCCCATAATAATGGAGTGCAAACCGCCGGAATATTTACAACAACACTGGAGACGATGGCTTCCCGCTTTTCCTCCACCTGTAATTAAATCGCTGGACGAAGGACTTCAAGATGATATCCCAGTCATCACGACAGGCGCGTTACAAGGCATCCCCGAAGAAAAGCACAGCGTACATCCCGACATTTTGTACAAACTGCAGCTTAAAAGTTCGATTCAGGAAGTTGGAGTTCTTTGTCCTAAGCACATGGACATTAATTCAGTTTCTTTTCCCTGCGCTGTGAAGGCAGACTTAAGTTCTGGTGGTCGAGGAAACTGGCTTGTGAAGAACGAGAGTGAATTATCAGCAACCTTGAGACAGATTCGGGGGGTTTGTGAGTGGAAGGATGGAGTTGTATTTGAGGAATTTATCCCTAGCGTCAAAGAAGTTCCTAGCTTTCAGTTTTACCTGCACAAATCTGGGGAGATATTTTGGGTGGGAACTACGTCCGGCGGTTTTATCAATCGGTTTGCCTGGATTAAAGGATCAGTTGACTGGGACAGGCAAGATGAATACAGAGACCTTGTCCATGAAGAATTCACCTTGCCAATTAGTAATTATCTTTTAGACCACGGTTATTTTGGTCTTGTCACTTTTGAGGTTTTATTCACAGACCACGGCAACTACCTTGTCGATGTGAACCCAAGGATTGGGGGCGACACAACACACTTATTACTGGCACGCCACATTGCATCAGAAATTGGCTTAAAGCATTCAGCAATATTTTGCAAAAACAAACACAACAATATGACTGCTGGAATGTTGGTTGAGAAGGCAGACCAAAACAATGGTAAAGGCGAGTCAATCATCGCTGTACTTTCAACTATGGACGCAGACAAAGGCTGTGAATCATATCTGTCTATTTTTGCCAAGAACCCTGAAGAAGTGCAACAGCTTTTTCATCAGCTGAACAATTGACACTTACTCAGGTATGAATTGTCATAGTAATGCAATTCATGCAAGTACATGAATATATTTAACATGTCATATGGTAAGTGGGTGGAATATTATCATGAGGGGGCCACTCCATTTTAGTATCCACCCCTCCCCCTTCCCCATGGTTGGGATCTTCTGAGGGGCGCTTTGCCTTACTTTTGTTCTTAAGAATATTTCTGAGGGGTATGATCCATTTTTCTCAGGGAGTATAGTCAACTTACAACATCCGTTGTTGGGGGGACGGGGAGCTGTGGCTATTAAATGGATTAACTCCCAGTGAGTGTAGTCCTGTCGGAATGGGACTGTTGTTGAGAGTGCATTACTGTCATCTCAACAACCTGTGCTCTAGTCATTTCGATATGAATCAAAGTGTGCATGAGAAACTCTCCTTCGGGACAACTCTATTCAAGGGACACCTCCATTTACAGGACACAAAATTTGGTCCCAGAAAAATATTAACATAATCTTTGTATCTGTTAGGGTGATTTTCTTATGACCTTGAAAAATGGTTTCGGTAAATGCTCGTAATTTGTTTTGTAAGCCAAATATGGGCGAGAAGATCAAAACATAGACTCTTTGTTTTCCCACCAAAGAAAACCCTTATATGGAGAAGGCATTTTTCGATTGGCCAATTGTGTTGCAGTATGGCATCAAAGCAAAGTATTGATTGATTTCTAGAAAGTTCTTCAGGCATGAAGTTTTTTTGGGTGAACGTTTGCTTAACCAACCAAAAGCCATGCGTGTTTGTATCCATTCGATAAACCAATCAGATGGCTCCATTTCCTTTCATTTGTTATGTCTGTTTTGTTTGCGCATTTTCATTTCAAGGTCATGCGAAAATCCCTTTACCTCTATTGAGGGGACATCTCTATTTGGGGAAAGGAACACTTTTTCTGGCTTTAAAAACCGAGGTTTAAGCTCCATTTAGGAGACACCTCTAGTTAGCCCCTGAAAAGTGACTGACCATAAAAAGTGCTGGTAAGTTTAAGTATATACACCAGTCACACTGACCACAGCTTTCACAACATGAACTATCTCACTTAAATCGATGTACTGCACTTGTCGCAGTTCATATTGCGGAGATAAGCTGCTTGAAATAATGACTACAGCAGATTCCAAGGCAGAATAAAAGAAAATTTTTTTATTTGTTAGTTAATTATCAACAAACCGCAGCCCAACCTCCATTCAGGGGACACCTCTATCCAGGCAGAAGACACTTGCCTTAATTGGTCCCCAGGTTGTCCCCTGAATAGAGGTTCCACTGTATCTAATCAGTTGATGTTGTTCTGTCAATGACAGTCGTATTCAGGTCAATAAATTATGTACTTACCCACATGTTCATATTCCACCCACTTGCGTAATATGACAATTTATTTTATAAGAATATGGAAGATGAAATTTGCAATATTTCAAGAAAAGTTAAGATATCAAGAATTTAGTTTTGTGTGCTTTAAATTGAAGATAATTTAGATTTTAATAAAAATTTGACAAAATTCTTCTTTTATTAATAGAAATTAAGGCAAAACTGACCAAAACTAGCCAAACCTGAGTGATGACAACCATTCAGTGCTAATTAAAACAAAGTATCACCGCAGTACAATTGAGAACAGAAAATCATCTTGCAAGAATTTTTTTTGCTTTAACACTGGCACAAATAAAATAAAAAAGAGAATATTTATAGCAGAGAGAGTTGATTATTTAATAGTTTTTGAAATTTGTGCTTGGAAGACTGATCTTGTGCACAAAGTTCAAATTAACTAAGGGAATGTTAACCCAGAGCTAGTGGACCACGGGTAGGCGAGGTAACCCGCTTAGGTGGGGCAACCTGCCAATCCATATAATCTGACCTTTTAACTTGATAATGTTGACTTGATAGGCCTGAGTGATACCCAATGCAAGGATGGGTTCTCCGGTCTGCCCGACCAGTTAACCCTGTCATATTAGTTTTGTTTACACCAAATTGTATTAACATTGTCATACCAAAAAGCGAAAAACAAATAAATGTATCTAATCAGTTAATTATAGCCATGCAATTTACCGTAAGTCCTTTTATTTTGCTACATGTAATTCTGAAAACACCTTTGCAGCTCAACGTTAAATGAATTGTACCTTAATGTTAATGTAGTTATTAAAGGTAAATTGGCCACTGCAAAAATGTTTTATGCTTCATTCTTTTGTTGGACCAAATTCTTGATTGTAGTGAAAATTGTAGTAAATTCTCCTTTTTTTTATTTTTCTAAGAAAAAGTTACTGCAATAGGCCTTTTTCAAAAGATACCATAATACTCTTTGTTGTCCCTCCAAAATTTTGCTTAAGCATTGTTTTCAATTTCTCTTGGGGCAATTGGAAGTCTCAAGAGAAATTGAAAACAATGCTCATGCAAAATTTTGAAGTGACATCAAAGAGTATTACATATTATAGTATTTTTGAAAAAGGCCTATTAGATGTGAGTGCTTTTTATAGGGGCCATTAAGTATCTTGAGGAAGTGGACCCTGGGAATGCAGGGTTGTAAGATTGCATGTAAACACCAGTTATTTCTTAACCCCACCTGAGCAGGTTAAATCACATACAGTCCGAGGTCCCCCACCCCCATCTAAACAAGCCCTAAGGAGATGTTTGTCAATGTTTTTTTTTTTTTTACTGCAGCCCATATCTACCTACATTAATCATCAGGAAGTTCCAACGCTTACTCATTACCACAGAGCTTCTAATGCCACAGTGCATTACCCCCCCTGTTCAAACCCTGGGTATTTGATCACATCACTTGTGCCAGGGGAGTGGGTAATTTGACTACTGACTACAGTATTGCCGAGGGAGGTGGGGAATTTGAACCAGAAATGTCAAGTTACATGTATGTGTTTTTGAAGGTACCATTGTAATATAATGTATGACTACGAGATCAGGTTTTAAATATTTGTAATTCAATTGTCAATTAACATCCTGTGAAGTCCGGAAAATTCACCAAAGTCTATTTTTTGAGATGGCAATCAGCAAAACATGTCTTCTTTGGGCGGAGCCGACCACTACATTGGGCTAATCATGAGATGAGAATATGAACAGGCCTGTTTAAAAAAGGTCAAATGCCAGGCTCCTTGATCCTCAGTTTTTCGGTTATGGCTCAGTCAATTCCAAGAGTACCCATTCCCCCTGGGCATTTGTCGGGCATTATTGTCAATTTTTGGAAAAGCCGCAAATGGCCCGTGGTGGGGTCGGGCGATTCATACAAAACCCCACCGTGTGGCTTTAAAAAGTGTGCAAATTAATGCCCCACACCGGGACCACACCAAAATTGCATTTTCCATAAGCTGCAAATGCTGCATTTATAGGAAATCTGTATTAAATAATAGCGCCATTTATACGAGAAAAAAATAAGACGCGAACTTTCCGTATAAACGGCACATTTTGTCTAAAATAAGGCGATGCTTAGCTAAGACGCCCGCATCGTCCCTTTTGGAACACGGCTCCGCCGCCAAAACGTTAATCTCGCACCCGCACAATACCGCCAGCTGCGCAGGCTAACCATTTGTACGAGCTGTTCTCGTCTTAGATAAGAGACGCTCGTATGTATAAATGGTACAGTTCGCGTCTTATTTTTCCTCGTATAAATGGCGCTTATATGATCGAGACGTGAGGCAGCCTTTGCAAATCTTAGACGGTGGTTATACTGCAAAAACGATCAAATTAAACTGATTCCGTTTAATAGTCACACAAAACACGAAGTTATATTAGTTTTCAAATATCTTCCAGAGTTTTTCAAGGCCTTTCTGCCCCAACCATTCGCTCTCAAACAAAGTGTCTTTTCCGGACGCTTAGACGAATGCAAAAATACTGTGGGGTAGGGTGGTGATCATTTTAGATGGTGATGGGGAGACGTGAGGCAGCCTTTGCAAATCTTGGTGGTTATACTGCAAAAACGATCAAATTAAACTGAGTTATATTAGTTTTCAAATATCTTCCAGAGTTTTTCAAGGCCTTTCTGCCCCAACCATTCGCTCTCAAACAAAGTGTCTTTTCCGGACGCTTAGACGAATGCAAAAATACTGTGGGGTAGGGTGGTGATCATGGAGCGAGAAAAAGTAGCCTCCCTACCAGATAGGCATATTTTCAGTGGAATATTGAAAAAGGAAGGATGTTTACCGCGGTTAGAAGAGTTGATAAATGCCCAGCCTGCAGCCCCCGGCGGAGGGAGCTTTTCTTAGAGGTTTGCGGACAAATTCCCCACAGCTGGGACCGACAAGATGACAAATGCCTGGCTGGATGGGCATGCGGTCTGGTGACACCACCCATAAGCTTGGGTGGCTAACACAATAGTCATCATTTACATACTATTGTTTACCTGTTCTTCACTGATGTTGTCTTCTGTGGTCTCTTTTGCGGGCACATAGGGAACCATAAAATGAATGTTTGGTTGTTGGGTAAATCCCAACAGTGGCTCTTCACTTGCTCCTGTGACAAATTCCCAAGATGTTTTCCAATGTGGTCACTCTACTCGCCCTTGCCACATCTCGCAGGTACTTGACAAACTTACTATAAACAGCTTTCTCATACTTTAGACTGTTAGAGCCTTCCTCAGAGAACGTGGGTTTAAGGAGATGAAGGATAAGTGGAACTGTCAATTTGCCATTGTTTTTGGGGTGGTCTAGCAGGTAAAGGAACATTGGGAACTTTCGGGCAAACATGTGAATTCAAGAGTATCTAGTCCTTGACGAAGCTTCAAAACACACTTTGAACTTGCTAATTCATCACTAACAAAAATGTCGTTCAACAGTTCTTCAGAAAAATACCTTTGGTGCCTGCCCATTCTGTAAAAGGGCAATTGCAGCCATCTGCCCCCACAAAATAGTAATCCTCTGCTAAGTGTTCCTTAAGTCCATGGTCAAAATATTTTGCCTTGATCTGTTGGTTGAAAAGCCTGATCCACTCTTTTCTTGGACCTCCAATATCTTCAGCCTGCTCACCATAAAACTCTACTTGGAAGGTAATTCTTGGATCTTCCACTGATCGTAGTTCATCAAAGGTTGTTTCCAAGACATTGTCACGGTCAACTGCCATAAAGTTAGTGTCTCCTACGTGCTCTGTGGCATCATCTATGACATCCAAGGGTCGGCCTTGTACAATTTTGCTTTGCAAGTATCTCAACATTTCAGTTGGCTCTGTTATGCTTGCTGATGGAAATTCACTGATAATCTTGTAAAAGAACTCACTGTTCTTCTTCTCTGTTTGGTATGTCAGGGACTTATCTCTTTGAGGATCAGTGGTAATTGTCGACTCTTCCGTTTGTTGGGTACTGGTATTTGTACTTGTACTTGTACCAGTGAACTCCCCTGTCTGATCATGACATGTAGTGGTACTGGTGGGTCTTTGAGCTGGCCTGTGAGACTCAAGTAAATCTTCATCAAGCCAATCAGACTGATCTTGCCCTGAGTCTGATTCGTTTAAAACAAAGTTGTATGCTTTCTTCATGCGAATGTAGAGAAGCCCTTGTCCGGCTAGTTTCTTTACGACACTGTAATTGTACTCAGTTCCCTCAGCTAGTCTTAACACTGATATTTTCTTCTGGGTTACTTTAACAAAAGTCGAAGTCATTTGGTCCTAGTAAACCGTATTCCGATTTGAGGATGAAACTATTTTTCCACGCACACACAATTCGCTATCATCCTCATTAAGTACCACCATACCTCTTTCCACAATCTTCTCTTTTTTCAATGTTTCAACTTCATCCTCTTCATCGCTTTCTTCGGAAATTGCCCTTAGAAGAGCAAATTCAAATGGCCTTTTCTCGATGTTCTTGGTCTTTTTCGCCGTCTTGTTTTTCGTCGCTGACTCTGCTGTCGCTCTTAGCCTCTCATTTCTGTTGAGTCTTCTGTACAGACCACGACTGGAGCTTGTGTTCATCATTGATCTTGCCCTTGCAAGGGTTTCGGCGATCGGCGTTGTTATTGCCGGTCTCATTGTACTCGAATCACTTGAATCCGTTCCATAACTAGTAGATGTTGATGTTTCCACAGTCAGCAACATATCAGATGCCTCTTTAAGAAGGCCAGCCGCCTTCTTTAATTTCTCTTCATCCATAGTGTAATAGCCTGCGTCGCAGACGCTCTAAACCTTCTGTATATAGCGTCTGCGAATTAGTGCACAATATCGTGTTCGAATCCCGTAGAGTCGCAAAGAAATATGTCGGCGTTATTGATTGGCTATTTTCTTTCGCAGTTTGTGATTAGTCCGATTTGAATTAAGCGTTGACAGGCCAAACATGACTCATAGCTCGTGACCAGAGAGATTGAGCTCGGCCATTTAGGGACAGTTAGAAACGCAGATTTTTGCGACGGCTACAGCGATCGGAAGTCAAATTTATTTCCGGTAGACGTCTTACATTTCGGCGGGAAGCCGCTCTTTCCCCGCGCGGACGTGAGAACAGCGAGTTTCCCGTTGTCCACAAAACGTGGGTACATTTTTTGCTTTCATGCTTTAAATATCTACCATTTCTTTCTCATTTGGTTTCCGAAGGCTTCAAAACGACCTACGCAATATATAATTGCAATTAACCTGGGTTTTCGGCTTCATATTGTATTCAAATATTCGTCTTAATCTGAGGCATGGCTGCAAACGCGAACAACGACAACAAACAGCTCGTATCAAAGCATATAACTATGATCAACGACAACAAACAGCTCGCATCAAAGCATATAACAGGGGTTTCAATAAGTTTTTGCATAAGTGGGTACTTAAGAGTAACAGGTGGGTATATTTGCCGAAGGCCCCAAGGGCCTTCGACCCTAGGGGGGTCCAGGGGCATGCTCCCCCGGAAAATTTTGAAGTTCTAGACTCTCGCAGATGCATTTTCAGGTCTTTTTTTGTTGCTTTGTTTTTACATTTTTTTGCTCCTAAGTTTCCCTGCTAGCAGAGGTCTCTCACGACGAGGCAAAAATGAGAGAAAGGAGAGAGACTCTCTCCTTTCTCTCATTTGTGCCTCGTCGTGAGAGACCTCTGCTAGCAGGGAACTCCTAAGTCAACTAATTTAAACAAATTTGAAGAGAATTATGTTACAATGAAGTAGTCATAGTCAAAACCTTAATTTTGCCAAATTTTTGGGCAAGAATTCGAAGCTGAGATGAAATTATCTGGTCTTAGTTGACGTTCATGTGAAGGCTCCAAGCGGGTAATCAGCCCGTCGCAAGCGGGTAGATCTACCCGCTACCCGGCTACTATTGAAACCCCTGATATAACTATGATCAAAGTAAGTTCATTGAACGAGTTAAGTCAAGGTAAAATCTAGTAAAGTGTACCTAGATAAATCTTGTTTTACGGTGATAGCTAACCTACTAAATGATAAGTTTGTGTGGCTCTGAGTAGCCATGTGAGTACCGATAAGTTTGCAAAGTGCATTTCGGCGAATTTCGGCGGGAAAAACGCAGATTCCACCCCAGTCTTAATCGGTCGTAGACGTCGCCGTCGTCTTGAATCTCACCACGAGTTGACGAACAACAATTTTGCATTTCACCAGTCACGAAACAAATATTTACGTTTTTCACGCTTCTCAAGAATAGAGGTGGTACAAAATGTCAAAAACGTTGCGTTAAATCGAGGATTTTGGCAGTTCAGGTTTCACGGAGTGCACTACAATCACGATTCACAGAACAGTTTTTCAGTATACGTACATCACGGTTCACGGACAAAAAAAAAAGGTCGATCACGGCGTCACGAAATAAGCGCCCCCAACTATTAGTGACAGCTAGAGACAGTAAAATGTACTACACTGCTGCACATAAGCTGAGTGAGTTTGTTGGCGCAAAAGGTAATAGTCTTAAGTGCGTTACGAGGCGTTTCGAACCTGTGCGGGGGGAATCCCGGGGAGGGGCGGGGGGAATGGAAATATGCGAATTCAAAATTGAATCATTTTTTGTTTACGCTCTAATCTAAGTAATGTGCCTAATTTCTACCTAAAGACCAGGTCTGAAAACGGGTATGGATTTTAGAGGTCTCGTCAGAAAAAGGGTGTAGAAAATGACACTTTTTCGTCTGAAATCTCACCAAGAATTCCACGAGTACCCCCGGGGTGAATACAGTTCTACATATCCCATAAAAGCCACAGGAAATCATATATTTCAGTCAAACATGAGATTTGAAATGCAAATGGTAAATGAACAAGCTTGACCAGTTTTAGTACGGGTCTCTTCAAGCCGTTGTCACGCATTCTTCGCATTTCTTCCTCGTGGCTGATGTAACACAGGACACTTCCAAACATCCACGATGTCCTCAAAACATTCAGTAACCACAGTCGGAAAGTTGATTCAGAAGTGTCTCAAGCAGGCTTATTTTTTGCCGCAGAAACCGTCGTCGTATTCTAAGGGATATCGATTCCTAAATGAAAGGAAATACCGCACGTACGATTGCCCGCCTAGCTCGCTGAATTTCGATCGTCTTCTGTATCCATTTCGTCATCTTCCTGCCGCGGGAAATGAGATTCCCATAATAATGGAGTGCAAACCGCCAGAATATCTGCAACAACACTGGAGACGATGGCTTCCCGCTTTTCCTCCACCTGTAATTAAATCGCTGGACGAAGGACTACAAGACGATATTCCAGTTGTAACGGTGGCACCGTTTGAAGCCATCCCGGAAGAAAAACAGAGCGTCCACCCTGACATTTTATATAAACTGCAGCTCAAGAGTTCGCTCCTGGAAATCGGAGTTCCCTGTCCCAGGCACATGGATCTAAACTCAGTTTCTTTTCCCTGCACGGTGAAAGCCGACTTGACTCAAGGCGGGCGAGGAAATTGGCTGGTCAAAGACGAAAGTGAGTTATCTGCAACGCTGAGACAAATCCGAGGGGTATGCCAATGGAAGGATGAGATTGTATTCCAGGAATATATCCCTGGGGTAAAGGAAGTTCCTAGCTTTCAGTTTAATCTGCATAAATCTGGGGAGCTTTTTTGGGTGGGAACTACAATTGGCGGATTCACTTCAAGTGGACTCACCTGCATAAGCAGTTCAGTTGACTGGAACAAGCAACAGGAATACAGAGATCTTGTCCATGAAGAATTTACCATACCAGTTAAAAATTACCTTCACAAGCATGGCTACTTTGGTCTTGTGACCTTCGAGGTTTTAATCACAGACCACGGAAAGTACCTCATTGATATCAACCCAAGGATTAGTGGCGATACAACACATTTACTGCTGGCTCCTTATATTGCTTCAGAACTTGGCCTGAAACATTCCACAGTATTTCTGAAGAATAAGCATTACAACATGTCAGCTGAAAAGTTGATTGAGAAGGCAGACCAAAACAATGAAAAAGGCGAGTCAATTATTGTTGTACTTTCAACATTTGACGCAGACAGGGGCTGTGAATCTTATATGTCCATTTTTGCCAGGAGCCCTGAAGAGGTTCAACACCTATACCACCAGATAAACAACTGATGATGATTAAGTAAACGTGAGTTTTATGAATCATATAAAAAAATTAACATCATGTATAGTTTAACCCCTCCTTTTGACCTGGTTATTACATATTACAACTACAGTTTTTAGTTTTCCCATCCCTATTTAGGAAATACTAACCTGGTGACATGCACCGCTGGTGCATCTTTGTGAGGAGAGGTGGGGGTGGGGAGGGGGGGGTTAGGAGGGCTTTTGACAGAGGGAGCTTATAGCCTGAATAGAAAAAGCAGTTCAAAACAAGCTTTAGTAGTTCTGATCAAAACATGTTTTGCATTTACTGGTTTTTACTGCGCTTTTTACAAACATGCGAATTCTGAAGTTCAAAAGCCAACTGACGATTGCGTTCTTTGCTGCTGTGAATCTTAAAGGACCTGTTAGAAAACAAAACTTTACTTTAAGGGGTTCAAAAGGTCATGGATTGTGATATGTGATTGGTGGATTTCAATCCGTTTTGTGTATTTCTGTGTTTCAAGGTTCGTTGCTTGTGATCGTACGAGATCAGGGTTAATGCATTTAAAGTGGTCGCTTACACAAGAGTTTAAAAAAAATAAAGGAAAATCATTCACCATCAGGCCCAAAAAGTGGTCATGATCGCTTACAGGAGGCAGTCTTTTTCTAGAGGTTCCAACTGTAAGGCTTTGACTGGGAAAATTTTTGTGTTTTGGATTGGTGGTCATTTATGGGAGGTGTCGCTTACGAGAGGTGGTCACACATAGAGGATAGACTGTAAATCAAATCAAGCTATAGGGGGGCTTGGATGTATTTTTTGGTTTACATAGATGTAAGTCTACAGGCTAATAACTGGGGCCTTACAGCCTGGGAGAGCTCCCATATAAAAGTGATGGGGATGCTTGTTGTCTCGCATATGGGGTGTGAATTGCAGATTTTGGTATCACGTAGGATGTCTGGGACAGAAAGTCACTGTATTTAACCATTCATGTATTGCTTAGGGCTGTGCATAAAGAAATTTACAAAAAATACTGTGACACTGACCACACACAAATCTAATGTTTAAAAAGGACCAAGACATCCCCGCAATGACACAAATCTATGTAGATGTCATGGTTTAGTATGGTCTTCTTCAGGGGTCAATTTGAGTTTTAGCCACAACTAGATTGGTCTCCTTAGAGGAGTGTAATTTAAATTTTCAGACAAGCATCCCTGTTACTTTTATTGGAGGGAGGCTTAGAAGTTTACGGTAGAACCTTCTCGAACATCATGCTGCTGCCTAGCCTATTGCCATTAAAGCTGGCTCATGTACTGTAGAATGACCCTGAAGCATAACTGTGGACTGCTTGGTGTCAGACCTCCATCTAATTCAGTTGAATGAAATACAAGCTGTTATCGAAAAACAAAGTAATAAAAAAGAGATTTTAAATTCTCTTTTAAAATGTATTGCATTGTGACTGATGAATTAAATTTGGTCATGGCAAAAACACAAATGAATTTAAATGCCAGGAGCCTAAAAGGCCAGTGGCACTGTACCTAATATTGTGTTATTAGTATACCGTAAAATTCTGAAAATAAGCCCCTCCGTGTATAAGCCCCTCCAAATATAAGCCCACCAAACTCGTAACGCAAAAAACCCTCCGTTAAATCACCCCTCCAAAATAATATAAGCCCCCCGC